TGTTCGAATATGAACAATTATAAAAGCTGGTTTTACACTGAGAAGGAGAACCAGTTGAACTTTCAGCACAAGAAAAGTCTTTAACTTTTTGTAAAAGTTGGTCTCGTTCGACAGTAACTAAATCATATTTAATTTGCAGTTCAGTTCTCATGTTCAATTCAGTTGCAAGGTCTGTCTTAAGATCAGACATCTTCTTTGAAGTATCCAGGAGTTTACCTTCTAACTCCTTCTAAAGTATTTCAAACTGTTTGTTCTGATTTAGCAACTCTCTCTTCTCTTCATCTGAGCTGCTCTTGTCATTCTCCATAGCAATGTCAAGCCATTTCCGCTTCTCAGTAAGCTCTTTTGCAATTGCTGTATACTTCTTTGAAGTATTTCTTTTCTCTGTAGCAAATTGCTTTTTCTCTTCGTCCAAAGCCTTTTGCTTTAGATCRATGCTTTTAGACAGTTTCTGGAGCTGGCTCTGACATTCTTTGGAGATGTCTGTCTTTTCTTTTGCATGTTTCTCTCTTTCCAAAACAATAAGCTGCTCAAAATCCGAGATTTGCTTTAGAAGCATCTTGGCGTTCAGCTCGAGAGAGTTAATCTTCTTCTCGTAAGAGTCTCTTTCAGCTTCAAACTTTCTTTTAACGTCCATAATCCCCTTTCTTTCTATCTCTATCTCTTTTCGTTCATCATTTAAAACCTTTTCCGCTTTCAAAACTTTTTCTTTCTCGAAGTTTAACAGCTCTCTGACTTCAATCATTTCACTTTCAGATATATTCACTATAGTAGTTAAGTCCTCAACCTGTTTATTTAACCTAACTGCCTCTTCTGGATCAGCACAGGTTTTCATCAGTTCATCCAACTTTTCTCGCAAAATTCTCTTTTCGTCTTGTTCTCTCGTAAGAACGCAATTCAGATGATTTGACCATGATATAGTCTTGTTAAACTGAGAATTTACTTCATCATACTTCGCTTTAAGCTCACGGTATTCTTTAGCATAAAAAACTGCCATGTCAAAAATAGATTGATCAGTTAAGGATCTATGCAGTGAAATCAGATAAAAGAACTATGAACAGTTAAGATAAAAAAGAATAGAAAAACACAAATACTGAAAAACACACGCAAAAACAAATATACAATGATGATCCAAAAGAAAATCTAAACACAATCAAACTAAGAAACCAAAAACAAACCAAGACAATAAACCAAGTCCAAAAACACACTGAACCAAGCCCAAAAATCAATACAGATGTTACACTTTAAAAAAATAATCTATCTGCTCTCTGAAGTGTATCTAAAAATCCACGTGTATGCTTCTCTTATCGGTTGCTTCACTTGGGCTGCGGT